CTGAGCTCCTCGAACTCTTTTTGGAGAATATTCAAGGCATCTCTAGCCTCTTCGCTCATGTTGTGGAGAGTATCGGACAACTCTCGCTGGGTTGTCTCGATCTCCCTCACTTGATCTTTAGTCGCCATATGAGTTTTCATTGCGGCCACCGCGACCTCAAGTTCCTCAATTCTCTGTTGATGATTGGGTCCACTACTTGTGGCCATCTCATCTATTTTTCTAGCACTTCTCAATCGTACTCTGATACCACGTGTCACAGCTTTCTCTCAACAAGCAATAGACCGTGCGGCACTCGAATGGACGCTCCCACCCAAGTCAGCCTTCACTAGTTCAATATCTGAACAAATAACCATAAGCCATGGTTAGTCCCAAGCATTCACAATAAGACACAATATATCGAGATCAATCTCAAGCACACACAAGCAAGCACATTCACATCGAGAAAAAAAAAAACACATCAAGGCAACATCGGGACATTCAATCGGGGTGAATTTCATTATAATTGACAATTATATATCGGGACTTCCCACCATCACCAAGGCTAGGGGGCAGCCCTTGGTGGATGGTCTAGGCCCGCATAGCAACCGGTGAGACAACCCAACAGTATGCTGCCTGCTCACCCCTCCTAAAGAGCCTTAGAGATTTTAGAGCTATGCTACCACTAACCATTATAATGTTTGAAATGGGACACTTTTCCTAGCACAAGAGATCTACCCGGCCATGGCCCTATACATGGGTGGCTCATGACAACCTAAGCCCCGATCATGGCCCTATACAAGGTTGGCTCATGACAATGTGCTTGTGAATGGCAAACCATGGGCTTCTGGAGTGCAAGAGACATTCACCGGTTCATATGTCTTCGTGTGTGCTCATGGTAATCGTGACAAGAGATGTGGTGTTTGTGGACCGGTTCTAATTCAAAAGCTGAACGAGGAGATTGAGCTGCGAGGACTGAAGGATGAGGTGTTTGTAAGTGCTTGCTCTCACATTGGAGGGCACAAGTATGCTGGAAACTTGATTATCTTCAGCCCAGATTCTTAGGGAAAGATTATGGGCCATTGGTAATATCTGCATCACTATATCATTATGCTTCTATGCATTGGATGGATTTTGATATTACTGTTTTTTTTGCCTCAAATGGTTGCAGGTACGGCTAAGTTACTCCTGATGATGTGCCTGAATTGCTGGACCAGCACATTGCCAAGGGAGAAATAATAGAACGCCTTTGGAGGTTTGTGTTTTTTATCTATGCTGAACTTAAGTTGGTCGAATGTGTAGTATTCCCGTTTGTTCCATTTCCGAGCACATTCATCCATGGAGATAGACTTACCACCTCAACTTTGTCACTACATACTTAAAATGCTTAATTTTTGAAGTTATTCATTGAAAGAGTTCACAGGTTACTGTTAGTGCTGCTGCATGTCTTTCCTAGCATTGATTGTCTTAACTTGCTCACAAGGCAGCCAACGGTGTTTTCTACATGTAACTAATTGGCTCTTAGCTTTATTTTGCACTAAAACATAGCTTCAGAACTCTGATCCCGAAGGCATTGCTTGACTTCATTTCCCTATAATACTCTTATGAAATGTTTCTTTTCTGACTTTATGCTATTTATTTTTGCTAAGATTTTAGTAAAATCATTCATGGTATTACTATGGCGTTACTCATCACTTATGCCATATGAAGCTTCCAATTGTTCCTTTTTGTGTTAATTTTTTCTTTTTTAGTTGGGTTCACTTGTATTCTTTTCAACTGTATGTGAGATAAAAGCATGTAATCCATACATCTACAGGGGTCAAATGGGGGCTACTATAGAAGGAGACGATACAACAGATGAACAGCAGCTTCCAAATGGAACGGAAGCGAAAAAAAATGAGAAGCATGAAGAATCTACTGCTCAGAAGACCAATGAAAATGTGGGTGGTTGTTGTCAAGGTGTCAACGGTTTTACCTGTTGCATGACTGCTAGCTCGGAAGTAAATGAAAGATCGAAAAGCGAAGCAATGCATGGAAGGACTGGGATGGGCAGATTGACAAGCTGGGTAGAATCATGGGAGCAACGTGAGGTTCTTACAGCAGCAGCTGTGGTTGGAGCTATTACAACCGTTGCCGTGGCTTATAGCTATTATAGAAGGTCTGGCTGAACTAAGCCTTGTAATCCAATGCCTTATTGTTTGCTTGTGGGTTGTATAACCCTGTTTTTTGGTCGAAGAGGTTTAGTTGATAAAATAATCCTCCAAACCAAAACCTTATTTAGGAGATTGATACAAATAGTTTATTTTTACCATATCGGGATTAGAAATACCAAAATTTAGCAGATAAAAGGATGAAATATTACCCCATTGATATCCTTCGGTTGATATATGCTCAAATTAAGGTGTTGTTTATGTGACTTTTGAATGCTTCATCCTTATATGGAAGTACCTAAAAATGATCTATTTTGAGAAAAAAAAAGTTTTATCTATTTACTCCGTAATTGAAACTAAGAGTTCAACATTTTAATTTTATTAATAAATGTCTAATGGCTTACTTATTTTTTCTTTGCTTCATTCTTATTTTATTTATAAAAACAAAATATATAACACAAAACTAAGGGGGTGTTAAATGCATTTTATTTTTTCTCTTCACATTTTACTTTTTTTATTTAAATTTTTTGTAAATAAAATTACTTAATTAATTTTTTCATAATTTTTTGGAGTTTTATAATTTTCAAAAAATGATTCTTCGAAAAATTGTATAATTTTTTTGAAATGAATTTTTGAAAAGTTGTATAATTTTTTGAAAATAAATTTTTAAAATTTATAAATTTTTTAAAAATAAAATTTGAAAAAGTCATATAACTTTAAAAAATTCATTTTTCAAAAAGTGAAATAGTAAAAATTTTAGTTAAAATATTTTTAAAATTTTTACTGTCCCACTTTCTAGAAATAGATTTTTGTAAACATGTGTAAAGAAAAAAATTAATTAACTAATTTCATTGCTAAAAAATTTTGAATAAAAAAATCGGAGAGTGAAAAATAGGGATGGAAGCTCAACCCGCTCTAATGGGTTTCGATCCAATCTGATCTCCTAGATTAATTTTTTTTTTTTAAATCAAATTTCGGGTTAAGTCGAGTGGAATAATAATTTAAAAAAATCGAGATCAAATTTTAGACAAATTTGACCTGATTTAATTTGATATATATATAATATTTTTTAATTAATTATTTAATTTTATATTTACATATTTATATTTATATTAAAAATAATATTTTATTATTTTAAATAAGATCGAACCAAATACAATTTATATAATATCATGTCAGATCGAATTCAAATAAAAAAAATTTTCAAATCTAATCGAGTTTGGATATTATAAATATAAAATCAAATCAGATTCAAAATAAACAAAACCCGTTTCAATCCGACCCGACCCGTTGCCGATTCTCGGTGAAAAAAAGTTTCTGAATAAGCAATGGTGTTTTCCTTTCTCATGTATCCAAAAGCGTAGTAGGGTCCAATTTTTGCACCCTTACTTGCATTAGACATCGATCCTAACTCTACCTGTTGAATTTCCACCTATTCCTAGACCAGGCCGTGCTGTACAGGCATTTCGTGCCTACAAGCATTTGCAAGTTCCAAAAATGGCTTCAAATTGGAGGGGAGAAAAAAGTTGAGTGATGCAGAAAAGATCCTTGATGATTTTGTTTACAATTGCATTTCATCAAGGAGAGAGATTCAAGAGAAACAAGGCTCAAGTGCAGGAAGAAGAATTCGACTCATTGACATCTTTTCAGGTTTTTCTGGATTATTGCAACAAATCCATCTGTGAAACCAAGATTGTTGAAGATATCAAAAGAAATTCTTCAATCTGCAAAGACAGCAACATGATATTCTTAAGCGAGGAAGAGCTTAACAGATTCATATACTAGCATGCAGTCTTCTTGAAACATTAAGGCTACATCCACCAACAACTGCCACCACAAAACAGTAAGGGTGAGAGAAAAAACTGAAAACCGAAAACCGATATAAAACCATTCAATTCAAATCGATTTTTTTTATTAGATTCAAATTAAATTTAAATATTATATATATATATATATTAGGATTGAATTAAATTTCAGATCGATAAATATAAAATTAAAAAAATTGAATGGAACCGATTTATATATTTTTATTAATTTTCATATATGCATTAAATTTTTATAAGATAAAAATATTAATTTTATATTAACGTCTATTTAAATTTATTAAAATTTTATATTAAAATAATATATAAAAATAAAAAAATTTAAATTTAAAAATCAATAACTCAAATCAAATTTGTAAATTTTGATTCGATTCGAATTGAATTATATAAAAAGTTGGTTCAAATTTAAATTAAATTTTAAAAATTTATAATATTATGTAATATCTATAAAAAAAATCAAATCAAATTCGATCCGATCTATATCGTTATTATCCCAATAAAAAAGCAATTCAACCTCACATCCTTCCAAGTGGTCATTGTAAATTGATTTGCTCTTCAATTATATTTGTTATTTGTTCATACTAATGAAAAAAATGTTTTACAGAAATACAATAGCATCCTGAGACAAGATTACTGTAACAAAATACTAAAATTGATAGCTAGATTAGAAATTCTACACATAGAATCAGAGCAGATACAGAAACTCTACACAGCACAATTCACATGAAAAATGGGTTGAAGGCCAGAATCAAGAAAAGATATGTTTAATACATTGGAGATTAGGCAGATCTTGACGTCATTGTCTGGTTGTTGCGATATCGTTTTCAAGTAGCTACGTGTTACATCTTTGATTTTATGTTATGCTATAATTGTGGTTTAAATGTGAATGAAAATGATGGCCATCTTGAGAATATAGTTGTACTATATTTAAACCCGTTGAGAACTGCAGCCACCATATATTTTAGGGATCTTGTTGATTTTGTGGCATTTTATTTTAGTCTACTTATTGACTACTTCTAACCCTAGAGTTGGCATCGGTCAGGTTCGGAGGTTGTTTGCTCCGAACCCGATCTGATTTTATATGTTATCAAAATCGAATTTGATTCAATTTAATTTTTTTTTTGTTTTTTCATATTGAATCCGAACTCGATATTATATAAACAGTATTCGATCCGACCCGAAATTAATAAAATATTATTTTTAAAAATATAAAATATTATTTTTTAAATATAAATATTTAAAAATATCATTATATAAATATATATATAAATTAATAATTAATTAAAAATAATTTTTTATATAATATCGGGTCGAGTTGAGTCGAGTTTGCATAAAACCAGAATCGACTTCGATTGTTTCATAATCTTATCCGACCTGAAACCTGAATTTTAAAAAAAAAAATTGACCTCGTAAGGTCGGATCAGATCAAAACCCATCGAGAATGGATTAAATTGCCGACCCTAGGTAACCTACTTCAACATGTACTAACTCTATACTTTTAGAATTTAAAAATTTCAATAAGAAACATCTTTCATATTATAAGTTATATATATACATATATATATATATAATTGTTATTTGAGAATCTAAAAAAAAAAATTGTAAGTATTAAGATTTGAATTATAAATTAATTGGATATCACTTTTTGACCTCATGAATCAGATATTTGGTTAAGTTTCAAGTTCATCATAAGTTCAATTTCTTTTTTTTTTTTAATTTTCAATCATTTTTGGAATTTTATTAATTTTTTATACCTTGTAAATGACTATCTAAGCTTTGGCTCATGGCTCATATTTTACACAACAAATTATATAAAAAATAAATAAATCTACACCTGTATCTTATTTTTCTTTATGTATCAAGTATATGGTATATCAAGTACCAAATAATTGAAAATTTGGACAAAAAAAAAGCTTTCTTGAAAGAAAAAGGAAATTGCTTATGACAATGAGGTGAACATTTATTTAATTTTTAAAAAATTGTTTCAGTGATTTCAGGAATTATAATAAATATTTAATGCTTAAAAAGCCTAAATTTTTTAAGCCAAACAAAAAAGATTATAGATGGATTTGGATGAGGGTATGATCTGTTCAAGTCAGGCCAAGTCAGGTCTAGAGGCAAGAAATGATTGTGAGGGCTTTATAAAAAAAGCAGCTTGGAAAAGCCTGGAAGATCATAACCAAAAAAAAAAAAAAATGCTGTTTGCCAAAAACTCCAAAAATGGCAGTTGACATGCTTATAGCAATTCTCTTCATCTTCTTTTTTCTGTGTCTTGGCCATCGGCTTAAAAACAGAAACTCTTTGGTCACAAATTGGCCTATTGTTGGTATGTTGCCAGCACTTGTTTCCAATTCAGATCGAATCTTTGACTTTTTAACTGATATGGCTACATCCCACGGCGGAACTTTCAAGTTCAAAGGACCCTGGTTTCCTAGCTTGGACTTTGTTGTCACTAGCCATCCACTGAATGTAAACCACATTTTGTGCAGAAACCATGGTAACTATGAGAAGGGTCCAGAGTTCAGGGAAATTTTTGAGCCCTTTGGAGAAGGAATAGTCACTTCGGATTCACATGTATGGAAAAGCCAAAGGAAAGTTTTGCAGTCACTCACGAAGAATAACAAGAAGTATGCGATGTATTTGGATCGAATTTTCTGGAAAAAGCTGGAGAAAAGTCTGATCCCTGTCCTTGAACATGTGATGAAACTTGGAGTTGAAGTAGACCTTGAAAATTTGCTTCAGCGGTTCGACTATGACCACATATGCTTGTTAGCATTAGGCATCGACCCCAACACTCTATCTGTTGAATTTCCAAATGTTCCAAGCAAAGTGGCCTTTGATGAAGTAGAGGAGGTTTTGCTTTACAGGAATCTAGTGCCTAAAATGGTTTGGAAAATCCAGAGATGGCTTCAAATTGGAGAGGAGAAAAAGTTAAGTAAAGGGTTAAAAATCGTGGATGATTTTGTGTATGGTTGCATTTCATCAAGACGAGAAAAGTTAAGAAGCGAAACAACAATGGAAGACGATGATCAATTCGATTTGTTGACAGCTTTTATGGTCGAAGAAGAAGGATCAGAAATGAGTGCTTTTGGAAAATCTGACAAGTTCCTAAGAGACACTGCTTACAGTTTCGTAACAGCAGGGAAGGACACCATAAATATTGGCCTGACTTGGTTTTTCTGGCTTATTGCAACACATCCATCTGTTGGAAACAAAATTTTGGAAGAGATCAAAGCCAATTCTCCAACAAGCAATGATGGGAACTTAGTCTCTTTTAGTGTGGAAGAGCTGAACAAATTTGTTTACTTACATGCTACCTTGTGTGAAACATTGAGATTATATCCACCAGTACCTGTCAATAACAAATCTTCAATCGAATCAGATGTTCTTCCAAGTGGCGATCGTGTCGGTCGAAACACAAGGATCCTTCTTTCTGTCTATTCAATGGGAAGGAGTGAAGAAATATGGGGAGAAGACTACTTGGAATTCAAACCAGAAAGGTGGATTTCGGAGCTCGGAAATATTGTTCAAAAACCATCTTACGTGTTCGTACCATTTGGGGCAGGACCAAGAGTTTGTTTAGGCAAGGACATGAGTTTCAAACAGATGAAGACAGTGGTAATTAACGTACTTCGGAATTATCAAGTTGAATTGGTGGAAAACCAAACTGTTGCACTAAGCAGCAAGGCCATTGCACTTCACACCGAACATGGTTTGAAGGTGAGAATCAAGAAGAGATGCGTTTAACTAATAGGAACTGAGTGAAAGATATGCTAAATAATGTTTCATTGGAAGCCCTAGTTTGAATGTTTCAGAAAATAAGTTGTAGCATATAAATGTATTAATAAGGCTGTTTTTAGCTAAAATAATAATGAGAATAATTGGATTTCTTATGGAGGAGCTATTGTTGAAAGAAATGAGTTCTGAAATTCGATGATGCAATAGCATTTAGTAGAACTGAAACCTTGAATTGAATTACATCTTTAAGTGCAAAATTGAAGTTCTGCCGAAATACTCTGTGGAATACTAACCCTAAGCAGCTGCATTTGCGTTATCATCATTCTTATTAAGCAGCTGGTCAGGTCAGCCACAATGAAGCAGACCTGAACCTTATTCCTTGAACCTAGCTAGAATCTAGAAGAGAGAAAGCAGAGACATCCCAAATTTATCTTTGGCATCCTTGTCAAGGGCATCATCTCCCAGATACATGTGGATATAGGCCCTGCAGAGAAGTTCACTCTCAACCTTGCTCACTACCTCACCCATCACTGCAACCTTTGGAAACAAACAACTTTTTGTTACATTTCTGTATCTAACTATACATTTAAGCTATCAGAATACAGTAATTCATCTTTGAACACTCACCTGTTGTTTGAAGAACATATCCTGGAAGCCGAGAAATTTCAATGAGAGAACCTGGTGTTAGCTTGATGTCGTCTGATGCTTGTCCCATGACCCTATCATCAACAGAAACAAGTAATTTGAAGCGAGTTCGACTCAAAACTGAGTAGAAATATCAGTAAGAAGTGTATAATGGTTACTACTTGTTTGCTAGCTCGTCATTCTTCTTCCCACCAGTTAGTTTTCTTATGGATGCTCCAAGACCTTCATCAAAGTTCTTTCTCACCATGCTCATGGTGAGGCCAGAAAATAAGATAACTAATCTCACCATCATCTCCACATCACTGTCAATAACGACCTGATAGAGCTCCTTGGTTGGTTTTTCCGGGGCTTTGCCGACTTTTGACTTAACAGATCTTTCAGTTTCTCATTGTCTGTGTACACCCCTGTAAAAATTGAAGAATGATATGGCTTACTGTGCTGCATTCAAGTTCTCTTATGTGTAACGGGCAAAATCAGTTATGAAAAGTTCTTGATTTCACCATGGTGACTCTAATTGGATAAATATGCTCAATGTAGAAGTTTGGACAAATTTCCATCTGAATTCTAGGTGCTGAGAAGGAAATTTACTTCAGTTAATTGACTGTTTGATTCACATTCAGTTAGATTATTGATCACGTTGTAGAATAGCCAACAAGTTCTTCTTTGCTGTCTTGTCTTGATAGGTACTATGTTAGTAGTGACATCAAACTGCTATATAAGGCTAACAGCTGTTAGTTTCAGTTGCATAAAATATAAAACTTAGATGAATTAAATACTTGGGATTTTGCAGAAGTTTACCAAAGCCATAAATCTTGATGCCCATGCCAAGCATAGACTTCTTCCTGAGATCAACAGCGTTCAACTGCTTCCCATCATCCAATTTAACTGGAAAAGAAACCCCAGTCTTCGGTTCAACTTCAACAGCCACCTCGTCTTTCTTTGCCTATTCCTTTGGCACCTCAACTCCAGCTGTTTCGTTCTCATGAACTTTCCCATTGGTTTTGTCTTCAGCAGCCTTCATCCCATTTTCAGAGTCAACTTTCTCTGTTGGCATCTCATCCTTGGCAATGACATTCTCAGCAGTGCTTGCCATTAAACTGTAACAACTTAACACAAAAGAAAAACAGTAAGAAGGTTATGTTGGTTGGAAATTTAAAGAGAACCAATGGCTTTATATAGATAGAAGAAGTAAATGAAAGATAAGAAAATTTAATTGGCAATTTTTAGGCATTTCGATCTTACAGACCTACCTTGGTTTCAGCATCAGATAAGGGGAAGTTAATTGTGCAATTCAGTTATTGATTGACCCTCAAAGAAGCTACATGAACCAGGCTAACATTCACTCTTTTTCATTTCTTCATTTGGAAAGGAATCACGCATATCAATGGAGGCACAGACTCTTCTGCAATGTTGACTCATCTGAAAATTATTAAGTGCTTCTGATGTTTCCATTCATTGTCAACTTTGAACTGCTCAATCTTTTTACTTATGAAGTTAAACAAATGGCAACTTTACAACTTCATAGAATCTGAAAATCTACCAAGCTCTTTGAGTTTACAAGGCATAGAGGACAAAATTCAAAATTGTACGAGTCCCAACATGGTCATATGATGGATTCCATTTTCATCCCAGAGGATAGTTTCTTCCTTTAACAATAAAATCTTTTGACAAAAGAATTTTTTATGTGATTATAAAAAAAAAAAAGAAGAAATGTTCTCATATTATTAATTGTCAAATAAAAGTTACCAATTTGAAAGGAAATTATTTTTCATTGTGTAACCTAAAATTGCATATACCAACAAAAATAGTTACTTAGTTCATTTAAGATTTATCCATGGTTGTGTAGTTGATGATGTGAAAGTATTTGATGTAAATATCTTTGGGGAATTTACATAAGTTTTGAGCCAACATAAAAGTTAAAGATTTGTTAGGTAAAACCCCATGCCAATGCTACTAATTTGGTAAAAAATACGAAAAAAATTCATAAATTACTATTAACAAGCATTATCATAATTATTTTAATTTATCTCATTTTAATTACATTTTAGACCACTTAAAACATACAAAAATTTTATTTTTTTTGCTTTTTCATTATTAACATAATAATCAATAATCATGTAATTTATTGATGAAATATTAAATTTTTAATTTGAGTGATAAATTAAAATTTTAAGTACTATCATATTCATTTTAATTTTATCTACTTTATTCACAAATTAGGTCACCTAAAGAGTTTTTTTTTTCCTCCTAATTATTACTCAAAACTAAAATAATAACTGACGGTCATGTGATATATTGATGGAATTTTAAAATTTTAATTTAAATGGTAAAATTAAAATTTTTACTGCTTTTTAAGTGTAAAAAAAATGCTAAAATAGTAAATTTAAACCTACTCCTTTGACTTGTACATAATCTTTGATGGTTTTTTGCTCGTGAAATTTGGGCTTTTACAACTGACCAAAACATAACCAACTTATTCTTCTTCAAAACAAAAACTCATATGTCCAACAATGGCTGAAAACCGGCCAATGCTTCTGCAAAAACCGGTTTGTCTGAAATTGGTTCACGCAATGGCTCAATTCTTCCGCGAACTCCTTTATTAACTACTATAAAACAGAGCAAAGGGTTGATGAAGCTGTCGAAACCAGACATAAAACAAAACATGCCAATCAGGAGAACATTCAGTAAAACATAAGAGGAAAAGGGCAAAGACACAACAAACCTCAAAAAAACCGAAGTAAAACATAAGAAAGAAACCCATCAACAACAAAACCATGCATGATAGAACAGGAAACAAAGGGAATTTAAAAAAAAAGTCATAAATTAAATATTTATAGAAGAACAAAAAATGGGTTAATTCATACATAAAATTATAAGTGCTAGGAACATTTTAAAATAAAAAAGATATAGCGATTCACAATAAAATCAAAATTATCTGGATCATTTAATTCGAATTGATGCAAATAAGGAACAAGTTTGACGAAACATGTGAGAAGCAAGTGGAAGGTGCAAGAAGCTATCTTTCCTGCCCTACTTATCTTTTAATATCCAAAAGCTGCTAACATTTCCATCACATGAATACTCAATTGTCAATCTACAAGTGGTTTCTTTCTATATTATTGGCTTTTGCTCAAACCTTTTCAATTTATCAACAATCGTGTCGTCTTATGATAAAAAAATATAACGATAAAGGATAACCATATTGATAACCATTTTTAGTGAAAAATTTTTTTGGTTTTGTCCTATATATCTCTTTCCATATTGATCTAAGCATTTGTAATAGAATTTAAGTAACAAGTTGTAAATGCAGGCATAATTTCGCCCTGTCTAATCAAAACTTATACATAACTAGATGCATTAATGTCTAAATTTTGAAGTCAAAACTGAAAGGTCAAAAATTCACCGACTTTACACTGCCGTTTCACAAGTTTCATCGCCAAAAGTCCAAAATGTCACCAGCAAAATAAGTGTTGGTGACTTTTCTTTATCAAAAGGTAATTTTAAATATAAGGATATGACAATAAAAAAATAATAATAATTTTGATAAAAATAAAAAATATATATTGTGTTTAAAGTATAGATAAAAATTTAATACAATAATTTTTATTTTATAAATATTTAATTATAATTTGAATATAATATAAATTATTAAATTATTAAAATATTATTATTATTATTATTATTATTTAGGAGAAGGCAATTAGCAAAGGACAAAAAGGCTTAAAATTCCATTATTATTAACCTTAAAAAAAAAAGAAAGTCCATTATTGTTGGTTTTTGTGTTTTGCTACAAATCCAAAATTGATTCGGACCCACTTTTACATTATGGATTCCATCAAATTTTTTTCAGCCCACCGACATGGTGTTTTTTTAAGCCCTTTGTGTGGAAAACAAAATTAGTTTGACCTAGTCAAAAATCTGGTTATAATTTCTAACTTTTTTTTTGGGTTTTCAAAAAAAAAAAAAAAGGTGACAAGGTTACACTATTATAATTATTTGCCCCAAAAAGCCTTGCATGATAATTAATTTTTTTTATAAAAAATAATGCATAAATAACAAATTTATGTAAAATTTTAAAAAATAACTTGTTAAATATTCATAGAAATTAAATACGAAAAATTAAAAATAAAGGTGTATTTGATAATTTATTTTTATTATCAAAATAAAATTTTGAAAAATTGTTAGAAGCGAAAATGATTTATATTTTATGTATTATTAGTATATAAATATTATATATTATCAATATATTATATATTGTTACCTAATTAATTGATAAATTTAACGAGTTATGAATTCTTAGAGATAAATATTAAAAATTATTTAATTAAATAAAAATAATTATTAATTTTTTGTCAACTTTCTCATCCAAATAAAAAAAATTTTCTTAATACTTTCCTTCAAATTAAACACACATTAAGGACTAATTTTAAACTACATCTTTAACTTTTTTTCTTAGCATTTTTTGTTGTTTTATTTACTTTAGATATTATATGATTTTTTAAATATTTTTTATTTTAATTTTATATATTAATAATATATCAAATATAAATTCGATGAAAAAAATAAAATTACAATATTTTGAAATGATTTTTTTTTTTTTTTTTGCCATTGTTATCACATGAACATTGTTCATCTATTTCAGTGTTTTTAATTTCATATTCAACAAAACACCAATTTTCCATTAAGACTAGTTTTTAGCTTATAGTGAAACAGGATCATTGAGATTTGATTTGAGCTAATTGGATGGGTAGTTGTACTTTTCAATCTTGCAATCAAAGTCATATCTTCCAATGTGTTCTCTTTTATGTAAGCTAGATTAGGTGAAATATTAAAGTCAAAAGATAAATATCAATTTTCAATTATATTAATTACCCCTCTTTGACCAACAATCAAAATGTTTCACTTTCCTTGGTTTAAAATCTTCTTTGTTAATGACTTATCAATCATATTTATTTCAAGCATTAATTATATAAAACATCTTAACTTAAATTTTGAATTTAATGTAATTGAATTATCACTCTTAAAATATGACATTTAATTCTTCTAATACAATATTATTAACCAAAAAAAAACTTTAAATAAAATTTAGTTGTGTTAATTAAAGTACTTATGAAAATAATTTACAAATTAGTATGATTCCAATTAGTAATTTAATTTTTGCCCGAACCAAATGTTTGGTAAGGGTTATATTTATTTTGATTTTACCTAACAAATATTTTTTATAATTTATCTTTCTTAGAAATAGAATCTTAAATATATACAAATTAAAAAGGTTTGCTCATTAAATAAATTAAACTTAAGGACTTTTCCAACTCAATAAAAATTAATCCTACCCAAATTTTTCTTAATTGTTGTTTAATCTTATCCTTACTTCTAACATTTGAATTAACAAAAAAAAATTGGAATTCGATTTATTTCAAAAGTATATAAAAAAGGAAATTAAAATAAGATTTTATCTACATTTCTATTTGATAATATAAGCATTAGAATTCAATCTTGAGGTCGGCCACCAAAAAAAAGTTGAGAGGAGTTGAACCCAATAATCACTACAACAAATGGGAGTTCGACACGTCATCAAACTAGGGGTAAATCAGGCAAGTCGAGGAAAAAAGTGGCACTAATCAACAAGTGGCAACTGATTATTGCTTGATTGACTCAAAAGCCAACAATCTAGATGTCGGTGAGACTTGAGAGATTATAAAAAGGAGTCAACGGTCTTATTTCATTAATTAAATTTAATTAATCATCGAATAACATATAAAAAATATTAAGTTTTATTTTAGTGGAAATTTTTTATTTTTACAGTACATTTTTTAATTTTTTAAGGAAAAGTTTCAAGAAAAAAAAAATTTGGCCACTCAATAACATTATTACCCATAAATTTGATTTTTTTTAGTTAAATATATTTTAAATATGATAGGTCATTCTTTTGCTGGAAAATATGATATTCATACCGAAAAAGACATATGATAGTTCATTTTTAATTAATTTTATTCCAAAGTTCATTATCAAATGAAAACAATTTCACTTTAATGTGAAAAGAAATTGTGAATAAAAATGCTCCAAAAAATTTTTTTTAATACAATAAAAAATGCTCTTTCAATTTGCATGGAGTTAATTTTTTCCCTTAACCGTATTCCATTGTATCAATATGATACATTATAATCTTATTTTCAAAAATATTTTTGATAATAAAAAATAAAATTAAATACATTACTTCTTTTTTTCATTTATAAGAAGGTTATTATCCTTAAAAAAAGAAAGAAATGTACAAAATTAAAATTTACGCCCACATGTCTTTTTTAAAATTTCTTAATGATTAAATCAAAAAGTGAAAGACAACGTAACAATTTTTTTTTATTTATATAAAATATATTATCTCTTGTGACATTAAAATTGTATATTTAAAATTAAAATCAATAGCAATTGAAAATTAGAATCCAACATCACTTATTATTAAATACACAATCAAATTAGTTCTTCATCAAAACTGATTTAACATTCTTCTCATTGCATTAAAAATCGCATGGTCCATATGCAGAGTGAATGATAATCTTTATCAAATACACTCTAGTTTTTTCTTTTGTCATGTTGAGTTTATCATAAAAGCACAATTTGTTAATGTTTCTTAAAAGGAAAAAAAAAAAAAAAAAGACAAGACAAGGAAAACAGAAGAAACAATAAAAATCATTGTTGTTTCTGACAGAGACTCACCAAGGAAACATACAAGAAAGCAATAAAAAAAGCCCAGCTTTCACTTCCCTTCCATTACAATATACCGCGTGGAAAAACAAAAGCAACTCTTCAACCAGTAACCACTTCCTATCAACTATTTCACTATCCACTCTCTTCCTAATTCCTCCCATTAATCTTTTTCTTTTCCTTCCCTTCCCCTTTGTATAATTCAACTCTTTCTTTTCTTTGCTTATTCAGCTCACTTTCCCATAAAAAATTATCTTTTTTTTTTGTTTAATTTTATTGTGTCAGTGCTTGTTTCTTTGCTGAAGGGTCTTTTCCGTTTTCTGTTATCTCTCCGTGTTTCTCTAATAAATTTTTTATTTTTATTAAAATTTTGTTGGTGGGGGGTGTCTGCAAAAAACATGTGGGGCTTTGTTCTTTGCCTTCCATTAAAGGGCAGTTCTTGATGGTTTTTGGATCTGCAATCCGTGATTTTTGGGTGGGTTTATTGTTTTAAAACTGGGAAAATAAGTAAAATTCCTGACTTTGGGTACTTCAATGTACGCAAAGGCATGTCCTTTGTAACTTTTTGTTTTTCAGCTATGAAAAGTTGGGTTTTTTAAAAGCTTTTTCTGTTTACTTCAAATGTGGGATTTCCAAAAGGGGTACTTTTTGTTTAGTCAATAGATGGTAGTTGTTTAATTCTTGTTCTAAAAGGGGTGGTTTCAAACGATGGGATCTGGAAATGGGTTCTTTTCAACTCAAGATTTCAATTTAGATGCTAAGTGGTTGATTGATCCTCAGCAGCTTTTTGTTGGTCCTAAGATTGGAGAAGGTGCTCATGCTAAAGTATATGAGGGAAAGTAAGTCAGTTTTCTTTGGATTCTAATTAATTCAATTTAGTTGTCAATTTAGTAGTATTTTTTTTTACTAAATTCAGCTTTTCTAGTTTGTTGGCATTTCAGTTTGATTCTGATCAATTGAGAAGAACAAAACGCTTAGGTTTTTAAAAGAATCCTATCCCTTTAAAATTATTTTGGTGTAAATTTTGTTGATAATTTAATTAGATGTATGATATTTTATAGGCTGTATGAATTTGATTATTGGAGTCTGTTATTATGTAACAGTTATCTCATGTTTTTTAGTCCATTGGATGCATTTAGATACAAGAATCAGAATGTTGCTATTAAAGTTGTTCGAAATGGGGAAACCTCTGAAGAGATTGCAAGGAGAGAAGGAAGGTTTGCGAGGGAAGTTGCTATGTTATCGAGAGTTCAACACAAAAATCTAGTGAAGGTTGTTGAATTATTATATATGCTATTAATTTCTTGTTGCTGAGTTTATGTTCTTTCTGGCTATTGTTGATATTGTCAATGAACATCTGCTAATCATGAAGTTTTAGGTTATAGTGAGTGGAAATAGGTTCATATCTTAGAAGAGCTTTTATTTGTTTCCAGTTTATTGGAGCTTGCAAGGAGCCGGTCATGGTGATAGTAACTGAGCTCCTACTAGGCGGGACATTGCGTAAATACCTTCTGAATATGCGGCCAAAGTGCTTGGACGTGCATGTAGCAATTGGGTTTGCACTTGATATTGCTCGTGCAATGGAATGCTTACACTCTCATGGGATCATTCATCGGGACCTGAAACCTGGTATGAGTATAACCTTTCTTGGTGTGCTTTTAAGTCTGAATGAGTAGCATTCATTGGAAAGGTTGGCAACTTCTATATGTAATTGCATGTTGTCTTGGAATAACAGCAAGATTTGGAGTTTATGCCTTTATGGCTTTTGTTCCCTTTGTATTACGCAAATCTAACTCACTAAAAGGCAAAAGGAATCTACTAACCGACAGCATGCTTCAAGATATGTTATCTCTTTGCTTTCTGTTTGTTTGAAGGGTAGGGAGCTTGTTATCCAACATAATGAGTTTATCACTGATGAATTATACTTACTTCTGTGCTCCATTTTTGTTAAACTGCAAGTGAAGGTGTGCTCCCGGGGCAACTGATAATTATTCAAACTTTCTGCCTAATGATGGACAATTTGATGGCATTAGTTACCTACCTTCCATAAAAAATAAAAAAAAAGAGAAAAAAGAGTTTTTCTTTGAGAATTTTTTGACTTGAATACCAAGGGATGGACCAAAATCTATTGGTAAGCTAGTAACTGTGAAGGTGAGATGAAGATTCGTAACTAATGGTGTGCTGGTTATTTGGCATCTGATATTGACATATTAGAAGTTGGCCTAACCTTCGGGGTATGGCATTTGGGGTTTACATAATCCAGTTATAATTGCTTATTAAGATCCTATTTCTTTTCAACAATGCTTTTATTGGGCTGTTTCTCTTGATTTTTCCAACATTTACTTAATGATTTCGTGCGTGGTTGGATGGCAAATATCTGGGTTAAACCGATAGTGACATAAATATGCTCCTAATTTTTAATTGGCTTTTGTGCTGCTACTTGCTGGATCTATAGTTTCAAACCATGTATCAATTCTTCGTGTAACTAAGACTAACCGAGCAGAATCCATTTTATAATGATTTCTTACCCAAGTAGTATTACATTTTGTTAAATTGACTTTGACAAATACAAATACTGCAAATGACTATGCTTCGTTGTGATCATTATTATTTTCTTTTGTTCTTTTCAAATCTTCCTCTGTGGTATCAATTTTAGATGAGAGAGACCCCGAAGTGGGTGCAGAGGGATTGAACAACAAATTTAGCTGGAAGTAAATGAAAGCAATAACATTCCTTAAGTGAACTTTATGCAATATTGCTCTATCACCTCTTATAGGTTTGCATGATCCTGATAAGTTCTTTCCTTTTGCAGAGAACTTGATCTTGACTGAAGACCATAAAACAGTTAAACTAGCAGATTTTGGTTTAGCCAGGGAAGAGTCATTAACAGAAATGATGACTGCTGAAACTGGGACATACCGATGGATGGCTCCTGAGGTAATGTACTGAATTATTCTGAACTTAAAATTGATTATTTTTTCCTATAAATTTTAGGTTCTTAATGTTCGAGATGCTCACTCCTTTACATATGCTAACAGCTTTACAGTACAGTCACATTAAGGCACGGAGAGAAAAAGCATTACAATCATAAGGTGGATGCCTACAGCTTTGCTATTGTGTTGTGGGAACTCATCCGTAACAAGTTGCCTTTCGAAGGCATGTCAAATTTACAAGCAGCATATGCAGCTGCTTTTAAGGTAATAGCATGCATCTTTGCTCCCCCTTACCGTCAAACTCCAGTCTCTCGAAATGTCATAGTAGCATGCATCTTGAAACCTGTAAAAAAATTAATTTCACCAAGAATAAACTCATATACAATTGTGTTTCTTCAAATGCAAGTACGGGATTCTGATATAGGAATCATGGTCTAAGTTGTAGCAATGTTGTTTCAGAATGTTAGGCCTAGTGCTGAGGGCCTTCCAGAAGATTTGGCATCAATTGTGACTTCATGTTGGCAAGAGGATCCGAATGCTCGGCCAAATTTCAGCCAAATCATACAGATGCTATTACACTATCTCTCAACCATTTCACCACCGCAGCCTGTGATGCCTCCTCAGAGAATAACTTCTGAGAATGCTGTATTGCCACCAGAGTCTCCTGGTACAAGTTCATTGATGGCTGCAAGAGATGACATGGGAGAAACCACAAAAGCCACCGAGCAAGACAAGCCAAGAGGTTTCTTCTTCTGCTTTAACCAGTGTTACTGATCCCTTGAAGGCGCAATTTCGTTCTCAAGGGCATCACAAATTAATTTTTAGGTGAATTCAATAAGGTAATTAGTCTCTCAGATATTAGAAAGAATACAAACTTGGTAAGAAAAAAAATTGTCAAATCTAATCAGAAGATTAGTTTAGTTCTATTATATGACAGAAAGCTGTCTGTAATCTGATGTATCTGTTTAACTTTGCATACTGCCTTAGTGCTTTACATTAATTTCAGTATGCCCTGACCAAGATGGATCCATAACTTCTGGGGGTAGGGGTTGCTGTGATGGAAATATGAATGTAAATAAGGTGCATCCGAAAGCCTTTGCTCCTGTTTTCTTCTTTATAATTTGCATAAGTTTGTCGGTTCGGAATTGTTGAAAATTTATTCAATGTGGCTTCTACATATGCTGAATCCAAATTAATAACTTCAACAGCTATGTTCGTAATCTTGATTGTGTAATTGATATGACTTGGTAAGTGTATCCGAATCAAGTAAAATGTTAAAAGTTTGTGCCGTGTGTTATATGAAAATTACATGTTATAATTTATGTTTATATGAAATTATAAAATATATAATTTTAATCTTATAGTTTTCCATTTTCGTCGTGTTTGAAATTATTATATCATTCTCATGTTGTCCTTTTGTTTTTTTTTTTATTTCTATCGGTACGGCATTTGAGTCATCTCTGGCATTTTGTGGGCTACAGCAGGCTCAAAATCATGAGGCCAAGCCCAAGTCTCTCAAACATTGATTATTTTCGTTCCTTCCAACATTTTAGGCTGGGATGAGCCTCGTTTTCAGCTTCTTTTGTGCCACTCCTGGCCCAAAATCAAGAGGCTAGAAGGAAATGGAAGAGGCCCAAAGTCAGTGAATTTCACTGAGAAAAAGAAACGCCGTTGCCGGGGATCGAACCCGGGTCACCCGCGTGACAGGCGGGAATACTTACCACTATACTACAACGACTTGTTGAAAGAAGAGCGTCAGATTCTTATATCATTGACTCTATCTGGTAACATATTTTTCCTCTTTACATTTTTTTTTGCACTAATCAAATTTATTTAAAAGAATATACGGAAACGAGATTATATTTATATTTTATTTTATATATCCATTTATTCCACTAATTCAGCGGAGAATATCATGTTGAATGTTAAATATTATTTTTTAAATATTAAAATTATAGAGATATGCATGAAGAATTATTTATTTTAATTGAAAATTTTATGATTTTTATTACATAAAAAATATCTCACATATTTTAAATTTAACTCTCAATTTATATATTATAATAAAATTTTACAATATTTTGATATAAGATTGAGATATTATAAAAATAATAATGATATTATTTTTTATGATTTAAAGGATTTATAATTGTTGAGGAATTTTTGAATTAAGATAAGACGTTAATATGATATTAGAAAATGACTAGTCAAATCTATTAAAAAAAATTAAAAAAACATTGGAGTTAAGATTTTCAAGCATATTCCAATATTCAAGTTGATAATTGAGTAAGAAAGCATCAAAACTACGAAATCAAAAATCACATTAACATTGAAATAAATATAGTACAAACAAATTATAAATGCTTTAATTAAATTAAATTTAAAGATATAATACAAAATTTTCACTCAACAATTGATGACATAAGAATGCTGTCGTAATATTATTTATCAAAGCGGTACGAATAATATTAACAGCTTAAGATTCTTCCATTATCACTAACCGCGTAAGCAACAGTGGAAATTCAACAAAACAGTTTATTTTTCCTTTTTTGTTAATGGAAACTTCACGTTTATTAATTTGAAGTGTCCAACCCACCATCAACGTTCCCATTATCTACCTTGGGATGCAAGTTGGAAATTCAAGTTAATTACCAAAAATGCCATGGGCTCGGTTTTCGAAGCTGCCAAGAGCAAACATTCTTCGGACAAGGAACTCAGCTTCGTGTCCGAAACAAATGGTTTGGGTTCAGTTCTAGTCAACTGTGGGACCTACGATGAAAACTTCGTATTATAGATTTGGGTTTGTCCGAAGCAGAGGTTTCGTAGCCAAACCTCTTATACCGGTTCGGAGGTTCCAAAGCAACGTCTTCCCGCTCAGTCTCTCGCTCTCTCTCTCTTGGGTTCACTTAACTTAGCCTGGTGTAGAAAAGGCTAAGGAAGAGAAGAGACAGCTTAAAAGCTTCGCTGATACTCTCTTCTATTTTGTGTTCTTCTTCCTCTTCCGCCTTTCTTTTGTTCATGTTCATGGCGAGGTAATGAATTAAGAGATTATGACTAATCAGTTCTGATTATGAGATTAAAGCAATCTCTTTTCTTCAATTCTTTTGACATGGGGATGATTTTGGTTTCTGGGTTTTTTTTTTTTTTGAGTTAATTGATTTTGGATTGTAATTTTTTTTTGGGATAAATTTATGGAATTTAACTTGAAAATCTCATTTACAAAGAAAAGATATCTTTTCTTTTTTCAAATAAAGTTTTCAACTTTGAAGAGTTACCTATTTGGGGGAACTGAAGGATGGTATGCTCTTTTAGATAAAAGGTGACATTTTTGGGGGTTTAATGTTGAATTTACGAGAAAGAGGGGTATTTTGGATAATGGGGTTTGTAGGTTACATAAAAACTTGCCATAAATGAGGTTGCTTTTCATTTTGTGCCTTCCTCATACACCATTATTTTCTGGTTTTTCTCTTCTTTTCCCGAGTTTGACCATGTGGAGACTTGGAGAGTCATTGAGTGCTACAGTTTCTTCATCCTTTTTGAGGAGGGTTATATGATTTTGGATGATCATCCTTTCTGGGAGCTCTATCACTGCTCAAATAGTTGTTAGTGGAAAATCTTTCAAGTTCAGTAAAAAAAAAAAACCTATTTTCAAGCTACGTTTACCTAGACAGAGGACATTTAATGACTTAAATGGAACTCCAATGATGTTAAATTTAATGGCATCTTTTTTACTTGAAGTCTGTGGAAGGTTGTGTCATTTTAATCCATAAACCATTGTTGCAGGAGCTGGCTCGTTGATAGTAGAACATTTGCAAAGAAAGTGAAAAATGCCTCCAGCTGGTCTTCTTCCATTCATATCACTGACTGTGGAGCAAATCGTGAATGTCCTAACTGCCATCATCGTATTGATAATAGTGATGTAAGATGGAACTTCAGTGTTTCATCGATTTTACCTTAGCAGCATTGATACTTCTCTTTGAAATTTAACATGGATTTTTGGCATGTCTGTATAAGGTTGCTTGTGGTTTTCTCTCACGTATGTCACTACCCTCGGTAATATCATTGGAGCTGTCTTTTTGTAGGTTTTTCCTCAGTGGCCTGGCCTTCCAGCTGGAGTGAAGTTTGATCCGTCTGATGCAGAGCTTTTAGAGCATTTGGCAGCTAAGTGTGGTGTTGGAGACTCAAAAGCACACCCCTTTATTGATGAGTTTATCACGACGCTTGAGGAGGATCAGGGAATTTGCTACACTCATCCTGAAAATCTCCCAGGTAAATGTGCTCCTGGAGTCAATATTTTTGTTTTACATTGCCGTCATCTGTAGGATGAATTCAATCTACCAAATGAGATGATTATAGGAAGAGTAAGGTCATTTTGTTGAAAATAAAATTGCTGATATTACGGTTTCCCTGTTCTTCAAAGACAATAGGAGACACTCCTCAATTACATTAAGTTTCTGATGAGATGCTGTTCATGGTTAATCTTGGGTAATTCAGAGTTTACAGTAATAGAAAATTGATATTCCAGCTTGATTTGGTTTCAACCAGATAGTGCACAAATTTGATTCTGATCTCTTCATCGCGTTTTGTGCAGGTGCAAAGAAGGATGGAAGTAGTATCCATTTCTTTCATCGAACAATTAAAGCTTATGCTACTGGTCAGCGAAAGCGCCGCAAAATCCAGCATCAACATAACACAAATGAGGAGCATGTTCGCTGGCATAAGACAGGAAAGACCAAACCTGTCACAGAAAATGGAGTTCACAAGGGCTGGAAGAAGATCATGGTTCTCTATAAAAGTTCGAAGAGAGGGTGCAAACCTGAAAAGTCAAATTGGGTGATGCATCAGTACCATCTAGGGGCTGAAGAAGAAGAGCATGATGGGGAATTTGTGGTTTCTAAAATTTCCTATCAACAGCAGAAACAAACTGATAAGACTGATGAAAGACCAATGATTGAAGAACCAGATAACTTAATGATTCGCACCAGTCCAAGGACCCCTAAAACAATTACTCCTAATCCACCTCGGTATGCTGTCGGAGGATCCCCTCTACCTATGCATGCTGTTCAATGTGATGATAATTTTGACCATCCAGTATGGTTGGCCGGGGAATCTCAGGCTGCTGAAAATTCTGACTTGAATTGCTTGGATGATACTTTGCTATGCAATGAGCTTTTGGATTCATCTTCCTTTCCAAAGAATTCATTCAAGAATCAAGTCTCATACTCACATACTGCCTGTTCTCACAGCACAATTGAGATGACAGGAAATAATGATATGTCTTATGGAATTTCTGAGCTCGAGAACTTGGAGTTCGATACACCACCTGATGTACCATTAGCTGTAAGCTTCAGCTCTCGCTCTCCCCCATCAATTTGTTTGGCTCTCTCAAAATGTCATCATATGATTATCATAAAATCTCAAATTCTCATCCATTTGCTGCAGGATCTACAATTTGGCTCTCAGGAAAGCATTCGTTCGTGGTTGGACCGGTTATGAAGAATTAATATGATGCAGAAGTTCCCCAAGGACAAAAGTCCAAGTTTTGAGCTCATCAATTGTGTAACTGAAGCTGTTTCGGGGCCATAGAGAGTTTGTTCTTTTTCGGTTTTTTTTTTCAAGGTTGTTTCAGGCTGTTGAAGTTGTTCATCCCACTGCTGCCAGACTGCTCCTAGGATCAGTTATGACACGAAAGCTTTTGTTGTACGTTAAACTGGCCGGTTGCTGAATAAGAGCTGCTGCTTGAGAAAAACTTCGAGGCCATGTTATCAAAAAATGTATCTGTTGCTTCTAAGGAACCAACATAATGTCTTTTGCAATAACATTGGGTACATGTAAGAAACACAAATATTTGGTATTGCATTGCAACTAAATCTTGTATCTATGACATTATTACTATCTGTGATACATGTACGATTTGAACTCTTTTCTGTGTGGATGTTAAGTTCCATTCACAATGTTCTTTGTTTTCTTCTTTCTTTTTCCAAATTCTCCTTTTAGATTAAGAACATAAAATTACACACAAATTTTAATTTGTCTTAAAATTACCATCGTAATACTGAATTTCATCAGTAATTAATTTCAATTTCACTGCTGTTTTTAATTTTATCGATCATATAAATGGGCCTTCATGATTGGAAATGTATCAATAGTCAGTAAACTAAAACGAGGTCGTTTAAGGGCAACAACAAGATTATATCCAACTGTTGACTTATATTAGTAAATTAATCGTTGTCGCTCTCATTGAGCAGAAACAGAGGAAAAAAAATAAAATCCCAAGCCCCCTAAAACCCTGAAAACCCTTCATGAAAGTCATTCCATTTCGGCGAAAGCGAAGCAAAAAAACGATGGAGTGAAATACTAATTTCAAAGGGAAGTAAAAGGAGAGACCTTTATTAACAGATTAAATGTCTTCGGCAAGGAATCTTCACAAACATTGCTTAAGGACTCTGTCTTCTCTGCTCCAACCAAATCCCCACAGGTTCATTTTCTCTTTTTCTCACAAAATAAGATGAAATAAGACAAAATCAAAATCTGGGTATTGTTTTTCTTGTTTTTTTAGTAGTGCCCATCAATGAAACGTTTTATCTATTACAGTTTTGTTATTCGGTTTCAGTTTCCTATACTTTGGAACAGAGCATTTGATTTTTTTTTCTTATTATTTTGGAGTTTTATTTGTATGCCTTAGTTTGATTCTTGATGGACTTTAAAAAATTTCTGTTTTTTAAAGTTTTTTTAGGGAAAAAAGTGAGATTTATCCTGTTTTCCCATGAATTTTGCCAGGGTTTTCACAAGAAGCTTTGGGGGCGGGGGTGGCTATGCTTTATTCTTCTATTTATTTGCATTTTTTAAATGAAAATGCAGGAAAGTTGTGGCTTTTAAGGATGCTACTCCGATACTAGTCTCAAGCAATGTGATAAAATTAGATGGTTGTTTTGAAGATAATTTTGCATCATTTCCTTCCCTTACTAATCCCTTCAATAGATGGTGTCGAATGATGTCAACATCAAGAGGGAGGAGTATGCGAAGCAAGGTGGAAAGACGTATGCAGAAAGAGTCTGGTAAAACGGCTAGGGAAATCCGGAGAGCAAAGAAAATTAAGAAGAAGCTTATGACTGATGAGGAGAGGCTTATTTACAACCTCAAAAGAGTATGTTATTGTGCCATTAATAATGACACTGAACCATTTCTTGCCTTTTGTTTCTTGATTCTTTAATTTGATGCGTGCCTGTAGTGTATGTTAATTAATTTATTTTAAAGGAATTGTTAATGTTAAACTCTTTTTTGAGTTCAAACAATCATTCAGACTGAGAGTTTGGGTGTTGTCCCTTATATTTTTCTCCTGTATAGTGGTTTTATTGTTGTTAGATGCTAGTTAGGATGGTTCTCGAGTTCTGGTAGTTTGCTTGGGTTTTTTCTATTGTTCACTTTCTGAGAATAATACAATCGGCATATGCATTTATATAACTAATGCAGGCTAAGAAGAAAGTGGCACTACTATTACAAAAGCTCAAGAAGTATGAGCTACCAGAGCTCCCACCTTCTGTAGATGATCCTGAGCTATTGACCCCTGAGCAGCATCAAGCATATAAAAAGATAGGATTCAGAAACAAAAATTATGTCCCCGTTGGGGTCCGTGGAGTGTTTGGAGGAGTTGTCCAAAATATGCATCTGCACTGGAAATTTCATGAGACCGTGCAAGTTTGTTGTGACTACTTCCCCAAAGAAAAGATCAAGGAAATGGCTACCATGCTTGCGAGACTGAGTGGTGGAATTGTTATTAACATACATAATGTAAAAACTATTATCATGTTCCTTGGAAGAATTATCGCCAACTGAAAAATCTGATTCCCATCAATACTCTTACCAAAAGGAAGGTAATTAAGTTTATTGTGTTCCTTACCACACAATATTGCCTTTGTTTTGCATCAACATTATATCTGGCTTAGGCTCTCCATATGTGAGAAAGCATCTAAAATTATATTTTTCCTTCTCTTCATAAATGCAGGCATTATTCAAGGCAAGATTTGAACAAGCTCTTGAAGCTCAGAAGCTAAACATAAAGAAGATAGAACAGGAACTTCGGCATAAAGGTATTAACCCTGAGGATCCAGTTGCAATGGCCACTATTCAGAGAGTTGCTTCAACATTCTTTAATGCAATTGATGAGAAGGAAGGCAGCCCATATGTCTTTCGTGGTGACCAGTTGCCTGTAGCAGAACCTAAGACAATTTTGGCACATGCAGAAGCTCCTGCTGAAAGCGACCAGGAGGAGTTGGACAGATTCATAGCTGAGATTGAGGATGCAGCTGATCAAGAATGGGCTGAAGGGGAAGAAGAGGAAAAAGAAGAGATTGGGAGAATTAGATACTGGAATGGACAAGAATTTGGAGGAAGGCCTGGGAGATCAGATAACCTTAGAAACAATTACTCTGATGATGAGGTTAGAGGGTCGAGGGTTGGAAAGATACACGCATAAACAAGAGGAATGATGATAGTGAGGAAGAATATGAAGATAATTTTGCGGGTGTTGCTGGATTGGATCCCAGTAATGCTGGTGATCTGAGCGAGGCTGAGAGTGATATGATGACGATTCTGAAGAAAATTTTGAATTCAAGAGAACTAGACTAGAAAAGAGAAAGCAAGGTAAGATTGGAAGGTGGAACAACACTGCAGGTTTCAGGAGAAATGCTGTAGGTAGTTATAGACACGAGATAGCAGAAGAAGATTCTGAGTTGGAAAGTACGCTGAGTGGCCTCGACGATGTAATGCAAGAATCTGATGCTGAGGAAGATCATAATTTCAGAGCATCAAATTCTAGTAAAAATTTCAGGAGCAGCAGCAGTGATGAAGAGGTTGGATTTTATTCCACAAAGGGAAATGAGAAAAATAGGGTGCAATATTATGAGAGAGACGACTCTTATGAAGATCATGGTGAACTTGAGAAGTCTAATACAGCAGATCAGAAGCAGGATAGGATTGCTAGAGGCAGTAGTAGTGTTGGTTTCAATAGAAATGCAGATGTGACTTCAGCAAAAATATTGCCAAGGAAGCAGAGGATGTGTTCAGTGACTAAATTTGCAACATGGGGAATCAGACACGAAGAAATTCTGAGCGTTATGAGCTGAGATGTGATGCAGACTGCAGGGCTGTGGTGAAGAAAGACTGGTGCCACTTAAAGGACAGGCAAGAACGATGAGACAGATCATAAAAGGGTGAAGAGCTGAAGATGCAAAAGTAGTGGATGAGACTTGGGACATTGATTTGCTGTTCCTTTTTTATTCAACTTCTTAAGGTGACTAGTGGAAAGTGAGAAACCCATTTGTTATGATCCAAAACAGGATCTGAATTATATGAAGTCATGATTTGTTAACATTATCTACATTTTGTGATTAAACCCTTCCTCTTCCTTGGAAACAAAACATTTAAAATGCAACATTTCATAGAAAGAAACTGGCTGTCAAGTACTGGAGTTGAAACAAAATGTTCAATGGAGTAAACATCTTCAGTTCTCTGGTTATTAGAATTCTTTGCATGCTTCTACCTGATGTTTTATAGTGCTGTTATCTTATTGAATTGATATGGATTACTATGATTATGAAACTTAGAAGGCAAGTCAGCACAGGAGTAATACTTAAACTTATGATTTTATGCCCCAAAATTCTTTTTTTTTTTGGGGGGGGGTGGGGGCGCAGTTTCACTAAAGTATGACCAATAAATCTCACCTGTTACTCGAAATGGTTATTGTATATTTACATTGGAGGATTCGAGTCTTTTTTTCTTCGATGATTATTGACTATTTGTTTCTGTCAAATTTCATGTTAAATGTCAACTTTAAAACATCTTTGGACAAACTTCTTTAGCCACATCTTTTCCTTTTTCCTGATTCTCGATTGATCCCATTCACACCTCCAACAAAAGTACATGGCATGCATTGATGCACCTCATCCCAAGAGCAAAATCTATGCTTTCTTCCCATTTTCTGAATTGCCTGACCCTGAGGAAACTCTTTTTCCTTACCCCTCGTAGACACTTGGCAGTTTCCATGCTCAACCCCTCTTATATGCAGAGGATCATATCTAACATGGTTATGTCATAATCTATTACTCAGACTTTTTATCAGAACCTGAAATATTTATTAAAATTTTCAGATTTTCTTTTTTTTCATAAAATATTTAATAGTTTGAATATAAAAAAAATTATATATTATCGATGGTATTTTTGAATGTCATAGCTGGAGGAAACTAGTGTGAGGCTGTTGAAGGTTGTATGGCTTGAATCTGTAGCTAGACAACATGGTCAAGGGGCGATAGAGTTATTTTTTCTGAACGCCCTCTAACGTTTAACTCAGTGAAAAATAAGAGGAAAAGTAAGAAGGAGGTGAGCTGTGTGAAAAATAGTTCAATAGAAAGGGGATGCTTAAATGTGAAGTATATGGATGGTCTTATATATACTTGAAACTTGCCTTTATCTTATATATAATATAAGGAACAGTAACTTGATTGAGATATAAAAATAATTGATAAAAAATATATGTGAAATTTGAAAAAGATTCATATAAATAGTTAAAGTCGTATTTAATGGTTTTAATCAAAAATAAAATTATATTTAATAATTTTAAATAAATTAAAAATTAAGTATACAATTCTAATATGATATATCGATGAAATATCAATGAAAACATTAATTTAATCATTTCTTATCGAGGGACAAACAATTTTTTTGAATAAAAATGATGTGATATTTAGAAGTATTTTATTTAAATAACTCAAAAATTGATCATATTAATCAAGTAAATGTAACATATATATTAAAATTTAAATTTTATATTCATTAAATATTACCTTTTAAAATTAATTACGTAAATAAAAAAAAAACACTTTTTTTTTTTTATAGATACAATACCTCTAATTGGTTGGCTTATAGTTGGGGTTAACGAGGAGAGGATGACTCAAGCACAACCACAAATAACACTTGTCCACTAATGCATTCATCGATCATATTCAACAAATCTTACACTAATCCTGTCATTATCACCATTAAAGAGGGTCTTCCCCTTGCAACAGAAAAGATCTTCCGAGCAAATTTTATCTTTTTTTTTTTCATGAAAGTATTTCAAGCAATTTTATTTTCTCAAGTAAAAACCAATAAAGTTTAATTTGGACTTCCTCCCTGCAAACAAGTAAAGGGAGACGGTGGACAGGATACAGCCACCACTCTCAATTAGCCTAACACCTTGCATTAATCAGCAATCGACAGATTAATCAGGTAATCTAACTTAAAATTTATCTTTTTAACAACTAATCGGCTAAAAAGTAAGTGAACATATCTTTTTAAGAAGAAAATGATCAATTAATATTTCATTTGGATAATCGATAAATAAAATTTTTATTATATTATCGATCATTTTATCAATAAATTTTAAATGAAATATAAATAAAATGGCTACTTTATTACTTGAATTTTATGGTTTTGACGTATATTTGTATTAATTTTTATGATCAGAAGTGTCCTATCCGTATAAACAATGAAGTTTTCAAAAAAAAGTGTTGGATATAATTACATTAGAATAAAATTAAAAAAAGAAAATTCCTGTGAAAGACATGACCTGGTCAAGGTTTGTATTAAGGGCCTCATGCAGCCATGGCGGATGCGTTCAAGCAACCAATGCAGAGGAAGTATTATGTAGATTGGGGAAACAAGTCTTTGACCACATTTCATAATCTTCTGTCAGTGGCTTGAAATTCAACTTTGATTGTTTTTTGACGGGTTAGAAGTTGGGAAACTGTTTCTCCGGAGGTTAGGAATGTGAAGGAAAAAACCAATCGAGTGAGTTCAACTACCATTAAAGGAAATAATAGTTTGAATAAAATCGAATTTGATTTAATATTTTTGAATAATATATAATATTATATAACTTTAAATTTTGATTTTTTAAAAAATTAATCTAATTTAGAATGAAATTTTATCAATTTGATTTAGTTTATTGATTTTTATAATTTATTTTTTATTTTTTATATATTATTTTAATAAAATTTTTATATATTTAAATAAATTTATATATAATAATTATTTTTATTTTATAAAAATTTAATATATATAAAAAAATAAAAAAACCTTATTTTGTTAATTTTTTTCATTCTAATCTGAAATTCAATTTAAATTTAATATATATATTTATATATTTAATATTTAAATTTAATTTAAATTAAATAAAAAATTAATTCAAATCAAATTAAATATTATAATTTTAAATTAATTTTTTATTTCTTTTCTTACTCGGACATGAAAATATTAAATGTTCTGTAAACTGTTTTGGCTATCCTGATTCTTGACGTGAGGAATCAAACATCCTTCCCCCTGAAATTTTTCACACGCAAAAAAAAGAATATGACCAAATATTTCTAGGGAATAGTAATGTGGAAAGGACCTGCTGTTGGGATTTGACTTTTCCTTAGCAGAAAGCAATCACTAGATAACATTGGTGACAATTAAAAGTGAAGCCACAAGAACAAATCCAAGTGTCTGCAAAATGCAGCACTTTCAGTGGGAATCAAACTAATTTATTCGATGGGGAACCATGTTTTGAACCCCAAAGGCAGTTTCCAAGGCAGCCTCAATCAATAGTAAATTCTTATCATTCTTAGATCTAAAAACATTCTCAACAAAAATGATTGAAAGGTGCCTTGACCCTGTCAACCAAAGCATTCACAGGTGTCATCCACAGAGAAAGAAAAACAGAATTACAGACACTTTTCAATTACTAAATAGTCTTTGATAAGGAATTAAAAATGGAATGGAAGAAGACTTGACCTTTTCTGGAGAGAGAGTTTTCATTTTCATTGTGCTAACATTAAACGTGTTGAAAAATTAAAAAAAAAAAAAGTATACAACGAAGATAAGGGAAAGTAATGGACTAGGAAATGGATAATTCGGCATTATGATCACAGGAAGAACCAACAGCAGTCAAATGATTCAAATCAACGAGTTATTGTCAGTACTAGGAATATATGGAGAAATCAGTCCAAGAAAAACAAAATTCCTGTGAAGGGAAAATCTGGGAAATTGTCATTCTACTCATTTATGCAATCTGGGGAATATGTCATACCATCAGGAGTTAGTATGTAAGCTTTATAAACCGATACAAACACTTCTCTCGCAACAAGCTCTCGGATTGGGAAATTGGATATGCCTCCATAACGGAAGAAACCAACTACAATAAGAGGGACATATGTAAAGTTTCCCCTCACAGTCATAGACCCCATCAAGTTCTCCCAGATTCAGTATAATTCCTAGATTTTGTTGGATAAGTGTATACTTCTATCAATCCTACACCATGGCTATCAAATGGTCAATGCAGCCCTTTCCTGTACAGGCAAAACTTGTAATCGAAGACTTTACAGCACACCCTTTTCTTGACTTAGCCACTTTCTCTTTTGCAGTTACCAGGCAAAAGATATTTGTATTTCTCCGCATTATTCAACAAATATGCAGGAAGATGGACCGCTGAATAAGAGCGAGGAATAGGTCCCATCTTCCCAATCATCTCCTTGAATGTGTATTCCTCAGGGAGCATGTCAAATAGGTCAGTCCCTCTGCATATTACATCCTGAATTCTCTCGGGGTTCAAGTAGTGAGAGAACCTCACTCGATCAGTGTGGCTGTAAGCTTTCATCTTGAATATAAACTCACTAATATACCGAAAACAAAAGCTACAATGCCACCCTGCATCTGATAAAATGACATCAGCTTGACGATAATGAGCATATCTGGTCTTGCCCGTCTCGTGCCTGTGGACAGAGGCTCTCCAGCTTTTGTTGTCTATGTGATACTCAAAAGAGTACAAATAGTTTCTCAGCTGAAGATGAATTACAGGTGGTGTATCATCACACCATCTCAATAGATTAATCGTATGAGCACTGGGGATCTCATCTACATCAGACATTATCAATAAATCATCATCTTCTATACCAGCTATTTTGAGAAGCTGGTCCAATGCAACTCTCTGATATGCCTCCTCAACAAAAGGGTTTTCACCCTTCCTGAATCTCCCACCAATCATCCCATATGTCAATCGAGGCTCAATAAATTTAAATTGCTGTCTGTTGCTAGCAAACGTCAATGGTTTTGGTAAGCCAGAAAATGTCGAGTTGGACTCAAGAAGCACAAATTGTGTAATATAAGGATACAATTCATTCCAACGAAGAGTGAGAATATCTATCTCATTGCTGAACAATACCACATCAAAAACTCGTCTAGGGGACTCACGAATTTTCCACCCATGAAGATTGCAGAGAGTCTCCATTGTCACATTCTCATGATAATAGTGAGGGATTTCATGAAAAGGCTTAGGAGGTGATTCCCATAGTGGTCTTAGGAAATAGGAGATTTTCTGCCCATGCAAATACATGCCAAAGATGAATAATGGGATAGCCACAAAGACGAAAATATAAGTCCTGATATCACACCCCCGCAACATGCACCGCAATCTAGAAATAGTCATCGCTGCACGGGACGCTTGCTGCAGATTACAGAATGAAAACCTTCTAAGATACCCAGGTTAAGCACAAACAATAAAAAAAGCAAATCCAATCTTCATTAAAGATTATAATAAACAAGAATTACATCATATTTCCACATAATGCCAATTATGCCTACTTTACAACATTCTCTACATAGCAAAACTCAATTCAAATGTTCAAAATTTTGAATGAAACTCATGGCCGATATATGAATGCATAAACCTCCCCTTAATTTTCCACTCTCATGTTCAATGTTTAAAACCAGTAATCATATCAAGAAAACAAAATTGAAGTACCAAAAAGGAACACTCAAAAGGGGGGAAAAGGAAACAATAAAAATCAAAGAAGATTGAAAAGCAGTCTTTTTCAACAGTTCACATAAAAGCCTAAAACTTCAATATTTTGTATTAGAGTACATAACTTCCCCAAAAGAGATGTTCCCTCTTTTTCACTAATCTCAAACAATCACCAAGCCAGGAACATCAACTATCCAGAAATCAAAAATTATAAATATGAAAAGAGCAAAGCAACAAACTTTAAGAAAAAAAATTATACACTCAACCTTAAACAAATTCCAGGAAAAACACCCATGAATCCAAACCCCAAAAATGAAGTAAAATTTTGAAACAAAAGCAAAAACTAGAGAAGTGAAAGCAGAAAAATTACCTGTCCACAAACTTCTTCACAACTATCATCAGTCTTCTTGGAATTATAGTACCCATCAGACATGATTAAACGACCCAACAAAGATTACCACTTTTTAATCAGTAAAAACAAAAACTTTATAAAAAAAAAAATTTGCTAATTATCAAGGCTTCAACTTTCCAGAATTCAGATCAAAGTCCTCCACAGCAAAAAAAAAAAAAGGCCAAATTTTTTAAGCAGAGAAAATCTAGCAAATAAAACCCAGTAAAGTTTTAACAATGATTCGTCAGATAAAAGGAAAAAAAAGAACAAACTTTCTCTCCTTTTTTTTTCTTCCTCTTCTCTTCTTCTTCTTCTTCTTCTGTAACGTCAATTATAGCCGTTTGGTGGTTTTTCGCTCTTTCACCGGCTTGGTCTTTTCCAAAAATAAAGAGGAATTTATAACCCACAAAAATTCAACAACCAAAAAAAAGACAAAAAATAATAAAAATATATATTTTTAAATTCCAATATTTTAAGTTTCTCTCCCCTAGTTTGAGTTGCCTCGTTCCCGTTAGGGACGGATTAAAATGAAAATCCTTTGGTGGAAGGGTAAAAAACCATCTTCAAACAAAAATTTAATAATTATTTAAATTTTTAATTGTTTATTACATATAATTAAATTTTTTATTTTTTATTTTAAAAATTTTTTATTTTAAATTATTAAACCTTTAAAATTTAATTTTTATTTAATTAAATTTTTATATTTATATTTTTATTTACTTAAACTCTCAATTGGACAAAAATAATTAATCATTTTTTAATAATGAATGACTGACTTAATAAAAATAAAAATTTAAAATTTTAATTGATTGAAAAATAATTATTAAATTTTAGTTTATGGGGTTTTTCTGCTCTTTTGCCAAAATCTTTATTATCTGTGTTTTTTTTATAATAAATATCATGTTTGTTTGCTAAAGAAAAGGTAAGGTTATTTTTGTTATTTCGCTTATTTTTTTGGTTAATGTGTCATGTCCTACGTTTTTAATTAAAAAAATAGTGTAAAAAAATCCATGAGCTGTAAATTCAATTTTTTTTTTTGTAAGATTCGTGATAAATGCATGCAGTAATTTTTTTTTTTTTTGGATTCAATTTGTGTAATTATGGAGCAATCACTTCTCTATATAAGGTAAAAAATATGTATTGATTTTCTTGGTTGCTTTATTTGAAAGGAGAATAAAGCATAAAGAAGGATTAAAAAGGTAAAAGTTTTTTGGTAATCCAAAGTTCCAAACATGGCCTTTTGGTTGGGATTGGCTTGAAATTGGCAAGAGTGATGAAGGCAAGGAAAAGGGGATGAAATCTTAAGTTTTGTTTTTCTAAGAATAGGTGATTTGAGGATTCTATAAAAAATTTAAAGAAATTTTAGGGTACAAAGGAGAATTGATTTTTTTATACAATGCAAATCTTAATTTAAAAATAAAAAATCATAAATATTAAAACTTAAATTTTAAATCAGTTTAATATCTATAATTTCATGAATTCAATGGTGGACTCAAACGAGAAAGAAGGGTGTTTATGGACATCCCAAAATTAAAAAATAAAAAATAAATTGAAGTAAAATTTTCTTCAACACCTTTAAAATTTTTATCAAACATTTTTTACATTGATAAAATTGGTCAATCCACTAATAATTTTTTATTTATATTATAAGTGAAATTAAAAAAAAATTCAAATCTATCACTGCATAAATCACTAGAGATAAGTTTGAAGTTAAAAAAAAAAAAACTTTAAATTAGGCTTTACAAAATTATTTTAAATATAATTAATATTTAATATACTGTTAATATAAAATTTTAATTACACAAACGAAGTTAAAAAGATGATACATATTTTATATTTTTTTAACTATATCTTAAAGAGCATGTGTTACTTTTTTAACTCTCTTTGTGTAATTAAAATTTTACACTAACTGTGTGTTAAATATTAATTTTTTTAAATAATGATATTATATTAGTAATAAAGTTAAAAACCATAATTAATGGTTGAGCTTAATAGACTTTAAATTATTGTAGACCAACACCATTTAAGATGGATTAAAATTTTCCTATCTGTTAAATTTATTAGGTTTCCTCTAAGGTCTCTTTCATTTATGTTATAGATGCTTTTGTGTTGGCAAAGGCCAAATAGATTCCAAAGCTTCAATTTTTTACCAATTTGAGGTCATTCAACATTAATCTCCTTTATTGACAAATAATTAATAATTAATGGCAACATTTCTTAGTAGTATTAATTAAAGTTTTAAAAGAACCTACCTTTTAAAAATTTTTTTTTTCTAGTCCTATGATTTGCCCTAAATTGCAAGTGTTTCTCTAAATAGTGATTAATTAATTTCTTCAAAAGTAGTTAACTTTGTGGTACAACATTAATGAATTTAGATTTTATATTTTCTGAACTCTCATTTCCTAGTAAAGGTGTAGGGCTCAATTTTATAATAATTTTTAAAGCTAGTTGTGTTCCAAATAAATTTATTAAAAAAATGGATAAACAATAAAAACTCAATAAATTTTAGTATAAAATTAAAATTAATTAGTTAATTACAAATCTAAAGAGGAGGGTCAACTTATATGATATAAAAATATTTTTAATTTTACGTATTTTTTAACCATTAAATTAAATAAATTTAAGCGATGAGATTGAATAATTTTTTCTTCTTTTTACTTATCTTCTTCATCATTTGGATATATTAAAATCAAATATTAAAAAATATGTAAAACTTTTTTAATTTTACATCGTATAAGTTAATCTCTCTTCAATCTAAGTGTTGAGAGAGAAGATATATATTAATATTTGGATTTATATAATTGGTAGGTATTTATTAAATTAATGCGATTTGATTTTCGATTTTTAAAATAATATCTTAAAAGTGATTGTATAGATTAATTAAGTTCCGTTTTGAGTTATATATTTAAACATTTAATTTAATGATAAAAGTATATATTCTTACTCAAAGAATGAGTTCGAATCCCTTGCTTTGAAATAAAATTAAAAATAAACTAATTTTTTTCTTTTTTTTTTTTCTTATATTCTCATGCTTTTCTATGAATGGATAAGCAAAGACATTCAAAGAAATAGATTGATGAAGGCAAAATGGGGATGAGACACAAGACTGAATGGATGCAAAAAGTATCATCCAATTGAAGGTGGGTTCAGCCACACAAAGGAATGTATCTAATAACAGTGACAGTTTAGCATTAGCAAGTGCAGAGTGACGTTTCCAGGTAGCTTCCTGGAAAATTCAGTCATGGAATGACAAAACATTTTTGTTGGTTCTTTAGGATTAAGAAAAAAAAAAAAAAAAAGAGCATATTCTTTCCATTGTAATGGAATTTCCCTCAAATAATGGCAAATCTTTTGTGTTTGGAGGATTTGATAATTGAGAATGATGGCTCCCCAATCCCCTCATTTCCTTTCCCTTCCTCTTTTAAATAAATATTCAATTTTTAAATAATTTTTTATTTAAATAAATAGATTAATTGTGTTTAATCATATTATTTATATATAATCGTATTAATTGTATTAAATTATATCATTATAAATTAATTTTAAATATATTAATCGTGTCATATTATATGTAATGTGTAAAATAAACGAATATTCTTTATATTTAAGTCATTCATGTTATTTAAATATTTATATCATGTTTTTATCAAGATTATTCGTATTGTGTCCAAAATTGTATTTGACATGAAGTACGAAACGATAATATAAATTATCCGAAATGTCTAAGTTGTTTTATTACATTATAATTGAAGAAATTTAGCTGGATTTATTGTATTTTTAAAACATTGTAATAAACTCCATTATCCCATTGTTGTGAAAAAAAAAAAAAAAAACTCCATTATTAAGTTTGCAAGAAAGACTATTAATTATTGATGAGGTTTTAACTCTATAATTGGATGAATATTTGCATTTGTTTTTGGTTAATTTGGCAAATACCCTTTTCACAGCTAAGTTTGAATTGGGTATTGAAAAAAAAAATTTGTTCATATAATTTTTAGAAATTTGAATTTAAAAATAAATAGTTTAACAAAACAAATAATTCAAATAAAAAAATGAGCATAATCTTGATTATCATGGTTTTGGGCACAAATTCAAATGGGATTATGTGAATTTTCTCATTGGAGTGATCAAATTGAATTGGTTTGTTGATCGGATTTGTTCAATTTTTCTTACCCAAGTTCTGCTGAGATCTTCACCAAGGACTTTTATCACTTTTTTTTTTTTTTCTCATGTGTTTTCTAGCAATCACCCACCCGATTTGGAAGAGTTCATTTGTCGTCTTTGGCACCTCTTATTTTCCTTCGGTTATCCCATTTTCATGGGGATCCTTTTGGGACATGTGCATGGAAGTTACCTCATCTCAAACAAGATTCCTCAAATCCAACAGATAAATGTCTATTTTAATTAAAGGTGAGAAAAATTTTTTAAAATCAAAATTTAATTTAAAATTATAATGTTCGATTTAATTTGGATCAATTTTTTTATTCAATTCAAATTAAATTTTAGTATTGAATGTATATATTAGATTTAGATTAAATTTTTTATAAAAAGTAAAAAATAAAAAAAAATCGAATCAAATCATATATTTTTATTAATTTTTATTAATTTTAAATTATTACAAAATAAAAATAATTATTTTATACATTCGTTTATTTAAATATATTAAAAATTATATTAAAATAATATATAAAAAATTAAATTTAAAATTTAAAAATCAATTAACCGAACTGAACCAATAAAATTCGATTTAAATTATATCAACCCGTATAAAAGTTTGGTTCGAATTCGACAAATCAAAATTTAAAATTTTATAATTTTATACATTAACTAAAAAAATTAAATCAAATTCAATTCGAATTATTATATTCTTAACTTTAGGTACATTTAGCTTTTTTTTTTTGTTCTAAATCCATTTTCATATAAGAATATAATGTCAGTAACTATAGAAAAGAATTTCAACATATATATCAAATTCAATTCTTGATAATCTCAATTTATGATCACGTTCATGTCAACCAAAATTTAAAGAATATTTAATAAACAAAACATCACTTTAAGAATATTTAATAAACAAAATTATGTAATTTTAACTTATGATATTTGATAAATTTAAGATTTTAAAATTGAATAAAAAATACGATAAAGTATTCTTTACTCATATAAACAAAGATAAACAAATCGAATCAAGAATATGTGATAAATTCAAGATTTCAAATTCTAGTAAAAAAAAAAAAAAGAAGTATGTACTTATTGAGCTATATAAAAAACAAATCCCATGAAGCTATCTTTTTCTTTTCGCGTTTGTATTCACAAAAGCTTGCATCATTTTTTTTTTTTTTTGTTGACTTGAAAGAAGCAAAGATCTTTTGAGATAGTAACCAAATTATAGCTATTTTCTTCTTTTGTGGTTGATATTTTTTGAGGACAGCTTTTGTTTTTTGGATGGCATTGACAACCAAATACAACCTAAATAAATATTTATTTATTTATTTATTT